CAGAGCAGCTGACATTAACTTCCACTATGGACCCGCCTCATCTGCAATAATTCAGCAGTCGTGAATGCACAAATACAAAAGTCAGCCATTACTTTTATGTAACTCTGGGCATAATCGGCTCTGCTCACAACCTCTTGAGATTCTGAGGAGCGAAGCTGATTTTAAAAAATGAGTCCAACGTCTAACATCATCACGTTTCTTCTTCTTGTGTCCTTTTTTTTCCTCCAGACGACCCACAGCAGCACGTCTGTAAGGAGGAGGAGGAGGTTCTCCCTGAGCAGCAGCTCTGGAACCAGGAGAGGAGCTCCAGTGTGGAGCAGGAGGAACCAGAAGCTCCACAGATTAAAGAGGAACAGGAGAAACTGTGCAGCAGTCAGGAGGGAGAGCAGCTGGGACTGAAGGAGGAGACTGATACCTTCATGGTGACTGCTGCTGAGGAAGGAGAGCACAGTGAACCAGAAGCAAACACTGACCAGCTCCCCTCTCACAGCTCTGATATTTTTGCGTTTCTTCAGTCCAAATCTAAAGAAATATTTGAAGTTATTAATAATTCTATCCAGTACGAGGAAGAGAACGACCATCAGCACAGACTCATGGATGTCAGCTGGAAACCCGAAATACAGCTTCACATTACAGGTATGTAAAAGTCTGAATGAAGTCACACATGAATGGGACTCATGTAAGTTATGAATCTGAATCATGATCAACATGTTTGAAGGAGGTCAGGAGAGAGGTCTAACAGTCGGCGTCTGCAGCCTTCTGTTGAACACGGTGGAGGTGCTGTCATGGTTTGCGCTGCATTTCAGCCAGTGTTGGAGCTCATATTAAAACTGAAGGAATTATAAATGCGGAAAAGTACATGCAGATTTAATCCACCGTACAATATCACCTTGAGCCTGGAAATGGCTTCGTTTTCAGTCTGAGCATGATCACAAACAGTCAGATGATGCATCAGAAGGTAATCTTTGTTAATGTTGTTGTTACTGTTAGAAAGTTGGTTTGTCGTGTCATACTGATCATTTATTCATTCAGTACATGTTCACTGCCTGCAGCTTTTCTACCTTGCCGTTTAACCTCTCTCTTCCTCTGTTGATTTCTGGAGTGGCAGCCTTTGTGGATGACACTTATTTTCTCTGTAAAAGTCTTATTTTGACAATGTATTTTCTCAGGCATGTTTTTCTATTATCACATCACTTTTCATTTTCTCGTGTCCTTTTGTCTTTCCAGACGTCCCACAGCAGCCTGTCTGTGAGGAGGAGGAGGTTCTCCCTGAACAGAAGCTCTGGAAGCAGAAAAGGAGCTACAGTGTGGACCAGGAGGAACCAGAACCAGAGGGAGAGCAGCTTGGACTGAAGGGGGAGACTGATACCTTTGTGGTGACTGCTGCTGAGGAAGAAGACCACAATGACCCAGAAGCAAACACTGACCAGCTTCTTTATCACAACTGTCCTATAAATGAGAGCCAAAATCATGAAGGAAGCTGGAATTTAGATTCAGGGACAAATAGTAACTCAGAGAGTCGGTGTAACTCTGACACGGGTAAAAAGTCCTTAACGTGTGATTTTTGTGGAAAATCCTTTAAGAATAAGTACAACATGAATCAACATCACAGAATCCACACAGGTGAGAAGCCGTATTCTTGTGAAACATGTGGGAAAGGTTTTTATGTGTCATCATCTCTTAAAAGCCATAAGACTACCCATACAGGTGAGAAACCATATTCTTGTAAAACATGTGGGAAAAGTTTCACACAGAGGGGTAGTTTGACTATACACATGAGAACGCACACAGGTGAAAAGCCGTATCATTGTAAAACGTGCAGGAAAATATTCACATGTAGCAGTCATTTATCAGTGCACATAAGAACACACACAGGTGAGAAACCATATTGTTGCAAAACATGCGGGAAAATGTTCACATACAGAAGTCAGCTGTTCGGGCACATAAGAACGCACACTGGTGAGAAACCGTATCATTGCAAAACATGCGGGAAAATGTTCACATATAACAGTCATTTGTGGCGTCACATGAAAACTCACACAGGTGAGAAACCATAATGTTGTACAAAATGCGGAAGAACGTTCACATACAGAAGTGTCTGTTTGGACATAGAAGAACTCACACCGTTGTATCAAGCGTATCATTTTCAGAAATTGTAGTCTTGAAACATGTGGAGAGAAGCCAAGCGTGAAAGAAGATTGGCGGACTTATACGTGTTCACAGGAGAGCTTTCAGAGTTCAAATATCTTTAGACTGTGTTCCGACAAACATCATTTATTGCATGATTATTATGTATAAAGCAGAGTTTCATCTAATCTGTTCTCATCTAATTCTTCAGTGAAAATATGGTGACTCTTAAAAAATGAATTTTAGTTTTGGTTATATTTATTGATATACAGTCTTTATTTAGAGGGGGATTGAAACTCAATTTGTATATTAAGTTTTGTATTTGCTGTCTATTAGTGGATAACCAATGACTGTTGCTGGTTGGTGTCTTGTGATGTAAAACTGCATTCGAGGTATTTGTTTTTTAATAAATAGAAAATGTTGACGTTTTTTATTTATTTTGTTTTTTATAAATCAAGCTATTCAGTTTATTTGGTTCATAATATCTTTGGTTATTTAGTTCATTTAGACTGACTTTGTTTTGTTGTGTTTTATCTGCATATCAGTAACTAATGACAATAATAAAGTAGAAAGTTTCAAGGGGATGATTGTTTCCCTTGGACTCCTCCAGCCTTCAGCAAAGACCTCGTTCCTATAGCTGCACATATGTTTCTCTGATTGAGAGCACAGTGTGAGGCAAAGATGTTTTTCCTGTGTCATGGGGACCTGCCAGAGCTGAGGAAGGCTGGTTTGAGCTCATCTTTCATTCAGCATCGCTTTAAAAGGTCAAAGAGGGTTTTAAGCAGAGTAGAATAAGCTGGAACAGGGATAAGTGAAGATAAGTTTACTTAAATTGTATCCTTTATAACTGTTGAATAGATTTTTATATATTATTGCTGTTAGCCTTCTGCCTGCATTAAATAAATTCAATCTATGATTATATTAAAGCCCACCTGTCCTTACTTTATTTCTTTCAGTAGTCTTTCCTTAGTGATGTAAAATCCAGATTGTGTTAGAGAAACAGTTTTCCCCTTTACTTCCGTCATTTTGGTTTGTGTACACCTGAACTTTGTTGAAAACTGTTACACAGGGGTCTATGTCTGTTCCTGAGACTCCTCCCACCTGAATGCTGTCATTATACAGCCACTTAAACTCTGTCCTTGAGATGTTTCATATTATATATCTGGCACTATGGGACCATGAACATGGACTGATTCTTAACTAACTTGTTGATTCTAACTTGTTGCTAGTTAGTGAAAAGAAAAAACTTTCTTGCTGCGAGGCAGGGATGCTAAACACTGTGCCACTCTCTTACCTGTGTGTTAAAGTTTTACAACAAAAGTCTTAGTGTGAATTCTCAAAACAAGAATTCACAGCAAAAAATGGTTACAAGAAAAAAACAATGTCATCTCAAACAGTGTCATGGTGATGTAAATTTGCCTGTAGCATAAACCTATTCGCTGGAACGTTCAAGACAATTCAGTTACACAACAAAAAGCATTGAACACCAAGCAGGCAAAGTTCTTTGTTTCTCGTATACGAGGGAGGCCCGAGCCAAGTGTCGATCCTTCCACTTGACCTCGCTTTTATTGAAGTTACATGAATATACATAGGTTCATTAACATATGATGTATACATACAAACAAAGAGTACCTCGCCTGTGCGTTGTGTAAGTATATGTGTGTGTGTGGGGTGTGGGGGTCAGAGTGTGACCCCGTAAACGACTTCCCTAAACCTGCTGTAAGTGCAGCAGTTCATGCCCTCTGAGTAGTGGGCGTGTCGGCAGTGTTGTCTAACTGAGCCACTAGTGACAGAAACGGTTGGATAACAGTATAGTTATAAAAGCAGGTTACCCTAAGATGTGTTCTCAGAAGGCACTTAGACTAAAACAGATATAGATACGTTTATCCTACCACAAAACAATAAGAGAAGGTACGACCTCTCCCACGCTCCCAGGGTGTGACTGCCAGAACACAAAGTCTTTGCAGACTATTAAGGATCAAACCTCTGCCAACATGACATTGATTATACAACTCTAAGCATATATGAGTAGATATTTCTAAGTATAAATGACAATCCAACAATGTAAATCTAACACCTCCCTTGGTTACGCTGCAAAGGTGTAGGCTGCTGGAGCACTGCCATGATGCACTGAGTGTTTCTTCTTCAGTCACCTTTCTTACTCACTGTGTGTTAACAGACCTCTCTGCATTGAATCATACTGTTATGAATCTCTGTCTAACTTCCACAGTGTGTCTTTATCCTGTCTTCTTCTTCACTTCAGCTGGTTGTGACAGATGGCCCCGCCCTTCCCTGAGCCTGGTGCGGCTGCAGGTTTCTACTTTTTGGGTTTTGTCATGGTCCTCAGTCTGGTGACTCAATGTTTAGGTTTTTAATTATTAATATTCTTTGGTTCAGTTAGTTTCTGGTTATATTTTAGTGATTTTTAAATCTTAGGTTCCTTCATCCTGCCTGCCATGACAGGTTTATTGTTACAACTTGGTGCCCTCGTGGTTTACTGTGGTGAAGCTCGCTCACTGTGAGAAGCTGATCATTGCATCCAGTTCCAATGTTCCTCTACTCTGAAGAGGTTTCTGAAGAAAACAACACTGATGAAGAAAGGCATGAAAAACATTTATTTATTTATTTTGTTTTATCTTTTTTGTGCTACAGATGGTCAGAATCCCCTTTGCAGTAAAGACTTGCACCCATACCTGCAGAGGCAACTGTTTGTTTAATAGTTTCTTTAATTTTCTTTATTTTGATATTTTTTGTGCATCATTTTAATACTGATGCTGTGCATTAGGGTTTTGTTAAAATCTAGACATGACTTTAGAATCCAAAGACGGGTAAAGGGCCACCATGCACTCGGGAGATTTTGGGTTGCTTTTTTTACACAGCGGCACAGGAGTGCAGTTTCTTCGCTTGTCTGTGTCAAAGATTTTCAAAAAGCAGATGCTGATTAAAAATCCTCACGGGCTGTTTTTGGTCGTTCGTACTCCCTCAGCCTGTTCCTGGACCCACCTAGATGTTTGGAGGCCTCTGCTCACTTAGCCAAGAAGCACAAATAAGGCCACAGCCTGAAGTAAAGATGCTTTTTCTCCTTCATGGGGACCAATCACAGCTGACAACAGCTGCCGCATTCAACTCATTCCCAATAAATCCGTCAACAATTTTTGTTTCAAACAAACAACTTTCACTTCAAACTATTTGTAACTTTTGTCACTGGACTGCTTCATTAGTTTGCTACACTTCTTCAAAAAAGCAACAAGTTAAACAGAACGTGAACGTGGCCAGACATGGGAAAGAAAGTTCAGTCTTATAAAATAAAATGTGGTTGGGTCTCGTGCCCCAGTCCTGGGTTTCGGCACCACTGTAAAAGATGCACAACAGACCCGACCACATGATCGCACTTTTTAGTACACTCCTTTATTGCAACTGTCAACTTACACACGTGGCCGCAGCTTTTCAGCAGATGCTTAACATGCGCAACTAATGTTGAACATTAGTTATTTATTTGTTTTTCTGCCAGGTAACTGGTGCCCCACCTGTCAGAACCCCACCAGTGGCGCACGGCACATACTTTGAGAATAACTGTTTTAAGCTCATCTATTATCCAGCCATGTTTCAAGATCCAAGGTGGTTACAAGTACAGGGAAAGAGAACCAAGGACAGATTAGAATAGTTGACTTGCTGCAATAAAACAGAAAACCACTGGTTAAAATAAATCTCCCCTGCTTATTGTATCAGTGGTTTCTTTAAAATGTCAGTAGTCTCTCCTAAGTCATGTAGAAATACAGATTTTGTGGCTAAGTCAGATCCTTAGTTGAAGTTTCTAAACAGTTCCATCTAAATTGCACATAACTTAGTACTAAGAACATAAATTAACATTTTAGTATTAAATACATAAATATGTATTTAAAGTCAGTGGGTTTTGAATTTCAGCTGTGTGAATTTGCTTTTTTATTTTATTGTGTCTGAACGTTCCTGCAGTTGGTTTGTGGTTGATGTGGATTTGCTGCTCATGTGAATCCTCCCACAGTGTTTCATTAGCAGCTGCAACCACAGTGACTCTGATAAAACAGGAATTAGCAGAATCCATCTGATATGAAGCTGTGCTTTGAATACCACTTCCCTCCTCTTTGAAGAGTAGTCAGATATCTGTGTTCAGGTTTTTGTACAGCCTCTTCTACACTTTGTATCACTGTGTTTGTAGAGCACAGTAGTAGAGAGCTGTGTCTGCCAGGGTTAGGGCTGCTATGGTCAGATTAGTTGATGTAGGTGATGTTCTAGTCATATCGATTATCAGGAATATATCCACTCCATGATCTTGCTCCTTTCCAGAGTATAAACTGAGGAGCCTGAAGGTCAGAATGATGTCTGTACCAGTGAAGTCAACACCACCTGCATCTGTCTCATAGCTACATGTGAGTTTGACAGATTCTCCTTCTGTTTTAGTGACTTCAGGTTGTTGAG